GGGCTGCAGAATGGATGACATGAAGTAACACACCCAACACTTCCCTGATGCAGAACAGGCAAAGAATGCCAGTTCTCAGTTCTTCCTCAGAATATCTCAGCTCCAGAAACTCAAAGTCCCCGTTCACAGTAGCCAAAACCAAAGAGCTCAAATTATCCCACAATAGCTAAACAGACCAAGTACTCCCCAAACTGTGCTCATATACAAATCTCTCCCTCTCCCAATCACCACATTTCACTTGGCAGTGCCCTTGACAGCCAGAGTTCTACGTCTCCACTGACTCTCACCTTACCTAGGCTGTGCCCCACTATGGCTGACCAGAACTGTTTTCATCTGACGATGCCTAACAATATATGAACAGAAAAAAACTTAAAAATAACATTACTCTGTGATATCCTCACATGTTTTTGTTCTTTTTCATAAACTTTAAAGATTAAGGATATATAAACTCATTTCAAATTATCTTATAATATTAAATGCAAAAATCTGTTTTCTTAATTTAAAAGAAAAAGCTGAAAAATCCTAATCATTCAAGTCAATTAAAATTCTGCAAATGGCCTGGCCGATGTGACTCAGTGGTTGAACATCAATACATGAACCAGGAGGTTATGGTTGGATTCCTGAGTTGCAGGCTTGATCCCCAGTAGAAGCCATGCAGGAGGCAGCCAATCCATGATTCTCTCTCATCAGAGATGTTTCTATCTCTCTCTCCCTTCCTCTTCCTCTCTTTGAAATCAATAAAAATGTATATTTTTTTAAAATTCTACAAATGCACAAAAGAAAATTATGTTGAGGTATGACTCCTGAACCTAGACCTTCCTTCTATTTTGGAGTCATTCCACATGAGGACTTATTTTCCAATGTTCATTTTCACAAATTGCTTAACAACATGCTGTCCAACTTTCCATTTAGTATACCTTATCTTCTCTCTACACACTATGATTTCTCTGAAGAAAAATTGCCTAAATATTTCAGCAATTTAACTAGTGGGAAGCAAAGAATTAAGATTATAGATACAACGGTGCTATAATTGTGTTTTAATCAGCTTATTAAATACAACATGAACATGTATCAATCAACTAACATTTAATTTCATGGTCCATGATTCAAAACTGTCAAAAGTGCAACAGTGAAAAGTTATCAGCATTTACTTAACAATTTGTTTCCAATTTTCTTTGAACTAATGTAAACCACACAAAATATTGTATGACAATTGTTACTTGTCCTTATGGACAGAAAGAAGACATAATTAGAAATTGTATTAAAATACAAACATAACTGAAATTTATCTTTCTTGTGAGGTATTACCAAGGTGGACCAAATAGAAAAGTATCTACATATATAAAAAACAGAGCAACATAATTATTTAAGTTGGGGAACTAAATACATGAATCTTTAAAATACCTATTTCAAATTTCTATCCTCAACAGATAAAACTTCACTGATGAAACAAATTACTGAGCTAGTTTGTTTTAAACTGTTGCTGCAAAATATAAAAATAAATCTCTATAAATCGCATTTAGGAAGTAAGCTGCCTAATTGCACTTCCATTTAGGAGTATTTCCCAAAGACTTCCCCATTACACAGTCACATTTGACTTGTGATGCAAGTACACTTATCTTCTGTCCTCCACAGAAAAAAGTGGTTTTTCATGATCTGAATGATTCATAATTTAGTTTATCTAAATTCTACATTTGTTAAGAAGCGGTGAAAATTATTAAGAAAAGTCAGCAGTTCTTTCCTCTAGAATTTTGCTTGGTAGCAAAAATCACTTTACTGTTTTTGTTTTTGTTATAGAGGTATTTTATTCTAAAAATGTTTAAATTAAATTTATTTTTTAAATTTAAATTCTTTATTGTTTAAAATCTTACTTAAGTCCCCTCCGCCCCCCCCCCCGACCTCTCCCCACCCACAACCACCCCCCAGCACATGCCCTCACCCTTTCTGTCTTATTCTAAATTTTTGGGGGGTGACATTGATTAATAACATTATATAGATTTCAAGGTCTGTTTCTCACCATTATTTTCCCCTCAGGTAGAGAAGGGCCTGAGGGTAAGAGTCATTAACATCATTTACTAAGACAAAAAGATTAAATTTTGATTACGAGGATACCTTTTATTGCAGTCAGGAACAGTTATTAAGGATGTCTTCTCACAAAACAACATACTAACTACAGTGCAAATTAAACAAATTCTATAAGGCAGAGGAATCCCTGCCCTTGATGAAGTTGATATAATCTGTTTCTAGTATTTAAAATTACAACGTTTATTCTAAATAAGGTATTTTTTAAATAGAAATAAGTAGACAATGTGAAGAAGAAAAGGGAGTTAAAATTGTGAGCCAAGGTTAAATATTTCATCTGAATCTGCAGAGTCAGATTCCTTAATTCATTATCTTATTTAACTAAATGAGCTGTACTGTGTGCTGGTTACTGTTCTGGGCATCAGCCAACCAGTGGTTAATAAGACAAAGTCTGAGTCCTCATTGAACTTAACATTCTAGTGAGGAGACCCAGAAAAAAATGCTATAAATATTTACGTGTGCCTAGGTGGAAACTGTGTGTGTGTGTGTGTGTGTGTGTGTGTGTATGTGTGTGTGTACAATGTGAGAAAGCTGTTCAGGGGCATGGAGGTAGATCAGAAAAGGCCTCACATATACATAGCAATTACGACATGCCAAGCGTAGGCTGGCAATGAGGATAGACTATAATAGAAGACACATACTAGTATTCTGCCAGTCTAGTATACTCACATGGGAGACCCAGATAAACTAACAGGAAAATATTCTGTTGCCACTACCTATGTAAGCTTGGCAGGTTGGTAACCCCTCATCATGAATAGTGGCACCAACCTTCCAGGGTTATTGGGGGGCATCAGATGTTTATAAAACATTTGGCATAGTGCCTAGTAAACTGCTAATTTTATTATTATAGTTAAGTGCCCATGTTGTAGATAACAAGAATGAGATTTATGGAAATTGAAGATAGCAGAAAGGGGGAAAGGATAATAAAGGTCTTTAAAAAATAAAAAAAGGGAAGGAAGCTGGGTTCACATGAGGACCTACAATATACACTGCAAATTATATTTATAAACCTACAGAAAATAGACAATGGAATCACATCACACACTCAATTAAGTGGCAAGAATTAAACTGCACATGATCAACAGAGAATACATGAGAGAACAATCCATTTACTACAAGTGTCTCTGTTGCTATTTGACTCACCAAGAGAATATTTCAGAGTGAATGAGGTTTATAGAAAAAAATATCTATAGTCTACAGGCAGTCGCACATCCCATATGTGAAGTTTAAACACCTCACCTCGCTGAGTGTGTCTAATATAGAAAACAAAACAAACAAATAAAAAAACAGCCAAGGGTCCTTATGACTTTTATTAAATTGAGTTTTAAAACGTATCTCCAGAAATTCTCTCCCTCTCCTTCTATCTCTCTTGCCACCTCCCAGACATAGCCTTTTCTCCCCAATAATCAGCAACCTCTGAGGCAGCAGAAGCCTGGACCTGACTAATAGTCACATGGTCTGGATCTTTGGCAGACTAAAGACAACATCTTGACCTAAGTTATGTTTCAGTTCCTCAGCCCTGAGTTGGAACAACCTCCTGGCAACTTGCTCATGAGACCAGACAACAAAAACACCAGAAAAGACCCCATAGCTCCTGCAGACCTTAAGAAATCATCACTCATGCATGTGGGGTGCATGCTTTCATGCTGTTTCTGCCAAATTCTCACTCTGCCATCTGCATGATGCAACTGGAAACGTGACTCATCGGACCACATGATTTTTTTCCAATGCTCGGCTGTCCAATCCTTGTGTTCCTGTGCTAATTGGAGATGTTTTATCTTCTTAATTGCAGACAGCAAATGTGTTCGAACAGGCCTTCGGCTTCCATATCCCATACAATGCAGTGTATGGCTAATTTGCCTACATACGTCAGGTGGTCATAATAATCTGGCCACTCATGTTCAAATATAACCCACATTCAAAGGCTGTTAAATCGCGTTGTTTACCCATATCTTCAGGAAAAAAAATCACTTCCACTATTGTAGTAAACAACCTGCTTCCCTATTTATAATGGTCTGGCCCTCTAGCAACTTCAGCACAAAATTATAGCTAATTTGCCTACAAATGTCAGGTGGTCATAATAATCTGGCAACTCAGTGCAGAAGTATCAATAAGTCCTTCCAAAAAAGAAGTCTTTGGAAGTACATTTCAAAAAAAAAAAATTCTACAAATACATTCATTGGGCATTTACTCTGGCCTGTGTATTTACACTAACAAGTATACACACAAAATCATATTTCCCATTATAATTTTAGGATTTCCACTTACCTTGGGGAAAAAATATCTGGCCCCAATAAAAAACAAAAGTCATCATATGGAACAACAATTACAATAATGATAATGATAGCAGTTAATTTTGGGCCGTGTACCATGCCTTTAGACTTCCTATGAAGTACTTTATCCTGATTCTACCTGCAAAAAAACTTACTCTTAGATTAAGTAATTTACTTGAAGATCTAACACTTTGGACATGATGAGGTTGGGATTCACCCACGTCTGTCTCTTAATCATTTTGTACTACTTCTCCATTTTAAAGACTCAAGCTTTCCCATGTGCATTCTGACTTTTTAAATGTAGAATTTATGGGCACAAAATAATTCTCCCATGTAGTATGTTACACTAAGTAACTAAAATGAATGATCAGTGCCTTAAATGTGTGCAACTTTTGTCCTCCAGGGCTAAAACCTTCTTTGTGTTATTACTACTTCAACTGCACGATTTTTATCTTTAAATGGTACATAAATTAATCAAGTAAGAACTCAAAAATACAATGACGTATGAAAGGAATATAATACTGTTTAAAGACAGGGAACATTTCTCAAAAATTTGAGAAGTGGGTGCCACCAGATTCTCATTAAACTAGTCTGTGCCTACAGGGGGTTTAATAACCTCCTGTTTTTTTGAAGTGCAAATTTTACCTGGATCATTATGGGAATGAGGCACCACAAAGACTTGAAGGGGCTTAGTGTCCCAGTCATTAAGTTTATAGGTAATGTCAAATCCTTGTTTCCAAACTCCACCATCTGGATTGTCAAAAGGAATTAAACTGTAAACATCCAACATCTAAAAATATAAAAGACAAATAAAAGATTTAGTTATGTATAACCATTATTAATTTAAACTTAATCTGAAAAATATTTGTTCAAAACTATTTATTATTGTATTTTAAGTATATATTTTACAAGATAAAGCTATTTCTGTAGACATGAAGGGTTCAGGCAGAAAACATTTAATCACCATTCAAATGATTAAAATGCTACCTGGATTACATAACTATCCTGATTAGTAACCCCCTTCCCCATCTGCTTCTAATAAAAAAATAATTTCATCCAATTCCTCTTCCCCTGCTTTATTTCCAATACAATTTAATAGGAACAGGTAGTAACTAAACAGCAAACCAAAAAAATTAATTATGACCAGATTAAAAAACAATTTACTGAAAATTACTTTTACTTCAAGTTGTCATTATTTTATACTCAATCTCTTATATTTTAAAATCTGTATCTTAATGAAAATGCATCTATTTATATTCTTTCATTTAGCGTATGTTATGTTTACCTTTTTTTTTCTAAAAATAAAACTACAACAAGATTGACTAGGTTAAAAATGGAAGAATATTTTTAAATTGAGATTTAGCTTTTAAGTGTTCAAACACTTTCTAAGTTTCCAAAGCAGTATTCCTTCTACATAATAATATATTCTGAACACAAGGGAAAAAATATTGCCCTCTCCCTCAAAATAAAAACCCTAAAAATTTTTATTCTCCATACTCTCTATAATATTAAATATGACAACAGAAACACCCTTTGGTAAAATTTCACCTTTGCCTTACCTCTGACCCATATGTCTTATACTTTGGATATATATAAATACATATAAATAAATATATTAGGACATATATAAAGCTCTTGCTGGTGCCAATTGCACATGTGTGTTTTGATCTGTCATTATCGATCGCGAATTTGGTTGACACTTCTATTATAGAGAAAGGGAGAATAGCAATATTAAAATATTTCTTCTAATTAATTTCCTTTCAATGTGCATGAATTCGTGCACCGGGCCACGGGTTAATACATAAATGAATTAGAAAACTTTTTAAAGATATCAAGCAAACTACATAAAAGTGAATACAAAGTATTTTAAGGCAATAATATATTTCTCACTTCAGAATTTATGACTTTAATAAAGTAAAATACAATACTCTAAGGATAAGTCAACAAATCTTTGGGAACCAGCTGGCCAAGGGAGGATGTGTTAGCAGTCTCTGCTATTTCTCCCAGTTCTTTCTTTAGTCTGCAGAACTCCCAGTCCTGCTGCCTCCCTCTGCTTGTATTCCATGGTTGCTCCTACCTTCTTTCTGTCCATCACAAATTTAGATCCACCCCTACCAAAAAAAGTTCTTTTGTTCCTCTTTAAAAGGAGTGAATTAAAACCTGAACAAAGCCAAGCCTCACAGAAATAGATATCCCTTCAAATCACAGGATAGGATCCTAATCCTATCTGAACCTGGCCACACACTAGCTGATGAGGTTGCAGGCGTAAGACCTGGCCAGCTCCACTGTTCCCAGTTTTCAGCTTGGCCTGTGAGCCATGTCCTCAAGGTCATACCATGTTCTCTGTCCCCAGGAGTTAATAAAAATTCCTACTTAGAAGCCAGGACACAGCCAACTCATTTTATCCAAGTTTAAATTATTCACCCCATAGGGTCCTGTCACCAAGTTCCAATTTCTGGTCTAAGGTATAAGGTTAAGTCTATAGCTCTCTGCTATTTTGCAGAACTAAAAAATATGAGTGACACATCCGAAGTTTAAGAAAGGCAAAAGTTCTTTCTTTCCTAGTCTTCAACTCCACTATCCTCTAGAACAGTGTGATCAAAGAGAATAATGCAAGCCAAATATGTAATTTTAAATTTTGTAGTAAAATGGGATAGGCAAAATTAATTTTGATGACATATTTTATTTTAGGCCAATATATTCAAAATACTACTATCTCAATATGTAATCAATATAAAAATGAACAAGATACTTTATAGATTATTTTTTTCATACTAAATCTTCAACACTTTGTGTGTAAATTATATTTCAAGCACGTTTCAATTCAAACTAGCCTCATTTCAAATTCAGTAGCCACATGTGGCTGCCATAATGGACAGTACAACTCTAGAATATTTCTCTTCCTTCTCATAAAGGCATATTCAGCAAAAAGAATCTAACTCTACACTATGCAAAACCTATAATGTATAACAGTTACATAGTAAGAGGAGGGCTCTTCTTGTACTCTCCAAAAGAAGGTAAGAAAATTTCTTTGGCCAAATTTAAACTCTAAAGGTCTCCAACTGTTACAAAAAAAACAAGACTGAAGAAGTATACAAAATGGCCATATTCACAAAGTATAAAATAAAATAAAAAAATTAGAAGCAGAGAATTACGGAATTTTATCACTAAAAAAGAATATTAATGATCTTGTAATTAATCAAATCACAGAAACTAGAATCCAGAGAATTTAAGTAACTTACTAAGTAAGAACAGATACCAGATCAAATCTAAAAAAACAAAACCCAGTGATTATTAACTAATGCATACATTACCTGCACATCTGCATTCTGACTTCCGCTTTGTGAAGCAAATAGACAGTCTTCAGGGTCAACTGTGAGGGACAATTTTTTCGATGGCAGAAAAGGTGAGCCAGCACGTTGGCTGAAATTGCCTTGTGAACTTTTTGGCCCATCCTCCACAGACTCACTCAAATTGATGACCGAATCTCTAATATTTGAGATGATCTCATTATTCTCAGCTAGCAAATGCTCCAAATGGTCTATTTTTTCTTGCAACATTGAGAGCTGGCCCTACAATAAAAAAGAGGCAGCTATATGAAACTCTAACATAGCTCTGAGACACCCATATTTTTTAAAAAATTATGTGCCTGCTCAAGAGGGCAGCCACTCACACTTCACTTTCCACTTTTATAAGTGGGGTCATAGAAAGCATTAATCGCTGAATGGTTGAAATACAAATTTACAGCAGAAAATCTTCTCCATGGCTGCAACCTTTGTTTAATCATATTTTAAAAAGAGCAACAGAAGTACAAAAAATATTGGGGGATATATTTCCTATTACCCCCACACCCAGCCCTAAAATATCTTTTGGTCTCTAAAATCACTAAGTACAATAACATATTATATTCAGGTATAAAACTTTAAATTTAACTGTAAAAGATTCTAGTTATTCCCAAAAGTCAGAAAGTGACCTTTAAAACTGAAAACAATCATTTCATCTCAATCAGTAACACTAGTGGACAATCCTAAATAAGAACTGTGATGTACAGAAATCAGTTAGTCAACTGTTAATTACCCATAGCTTGAAAAAAAAACTGACATGAATTGCCCCCCCCCCCCAACCAAGTAATCACACATTATTAAGTCATTTAGACCGGTTATACTACATTGTGTGACTTTAGGTTTTTAATTGATCCTCACATTAATTATAGAGGCTTGCTCTCTCTAGAACATAAACCTTGCTATATAGAATAACACCTTAGCTTATGAGAGCAAGGACAATCTCTGTTTTGCTCACTCCTATTCCAAGGGTTCCAAATACAGAGTAGATAGTCATAAATTTGCCAAATGGCCTTCATATTTCTGGAAAGCAACTATAATTGTTTAGTGAACACCCACTGTGCCAGGTATAATGCTACATGCTGGGAAGGCAAGAATGCATAAGATATGAGTCCCTATCTTTATAAACACACACACAAGAGGACATTGTAACTAGAAATAACCTACCCTTTTCCCCCAAAAGTCCATATTAGAACTTAATAAAATAACTATATGGATAGTGAATAAACAACTCTAGCTACTTAGAAACAAAAAATTCTATCACCAGTAAGTAACAGAAAGAAAGGAGGAAGGGAAAAGAGAAAAGAAGCTAAAACACTAAATGTCCAAAAATGAAGGACTGGTCAATATCTAATATCACAGAACAGTTTTCAGGGACTGAAAAGTTAGAGATATAATTTTTTAAATAAAAATATATGAGAAGGTACTTTCAGGAGATACAGTGGAGAAAAGGCAGTTTTAAAATAGTATGTATGAATAAAATAGTATATATGACATGATGATCCCCTTTTGAAAAATAATACATACTTGAGATGGTAAAAACTGGTTATGAGCATTTATATTCCTTTAAAAAATGGTTTTTATTTTAGAAAGAAAGT